TGTGCATCACACCAGCACATCCATAAATCAGGAATATAGGAAGGATTATCCACAAAGCAGCAAGTAATGCTTCATCACGCCCCAGACAGAAAATAAGACCTTTGAGGGGAGCAAAAGGAGTTATTCACAGGAAATAACTCAGGATGCTCTGCACTCAGCCAGGCTCCTGGATGCAGTTTTGGGGTGCTGGAGCAGCCCCAGGTATCACCCAGCAGACAGTGATGTTATGGGCCCCCCCCTTGCAGAGCCCCCAGCCCACCCCAGGGGAGGGGAGATGGAGGTGAATCCTTATTTTTGCTTTCTAGGAAAGTCGTGGTCCCTGCTGGACACACACAAGAGCAGATCCTGTTCTCCCACCAGGCAGCTCAGGACACACAGAGGGGAGGTACAGGATCTCCCCTCCCCAGCACAGCTCTGCAGCACCCAGCTCCCATTTCCCCCAAAGCTGAGCTTGAACCAGCCAGGGAGCAGCAGATCCACCACCAGCCTCTCCCCAAGCCCCCAGCCATGCCCTGCACCAGCAGCAGTTCCCCACACCAGCTCTCTCCACAAGGCATTGGGATGGATGAGATTTAATTTTTTTTTTGTCCTGGTTTTTGTCAGGAAAAACCCCACAACCCCCTCTGGCTGCTGAGGCTCATCCCACATCCCTGAGAGGCACCAGCAGCTCCATCCTCTGAGCCAGCACCACCCTGGGCAGCTGTTAAAGCTCCTCCTCCACCTCCATCCCACCCCGGAGCAGGCAGAGCCCCAGCCTGGAGCACCCAGGGCTTTGGGAAGCGCAGGTTGGTGTGTGAGCAGCTCTGCTAAAAGCATTAACACACATCCCAAAGAGCTGGAGACCTTCCACCACTCACAGCCCATGAAGCCAAGCAGCCTCACACCCCAAACCAAACCTCAGCTCCCTTCTCTACACCAAAAGGGATTTTTGTCCTCTCCCTTGGTAGCCCACACAGAGTCCTGAATTTGAATTCCAGCTCTGAATTATATATTGAACAAGCCCTCCCCACTTCCACTGTGGAGATAAAGCCCTGAGAAGGAGGATTATGGCCCAAAGACTGGCAGCCCCCAGAAAACTGTGGCCAGACCTGTGCCACAAAGGGCTCTCAGCCTCTCTTTTTCGTAAGACCTGAGAGTGGATGAATTTAGCAATAATTTCTTTTCCATTCTGGCTGCTGAAACACATTTCTCAGTCATAGCAGCAGTGAAGTCAAGGACTGGGATGATGAATGTCTGCTCACAGGAGGAGCAGCAGCCTCTGGGACCCACTAGCAGCAACTGGCTGCTCCTCCCCAGCCCAGTGCACAGACTTAAACCCCATTATTGCTAAATTAAGAGGATCCTATCAAATAAACACAGTCCACACACCAAAGCCTGCAAGGACTCAGGTCTAATATGAGAATTGCTAATTCAGGACTTCCACTGGAGTGGACTCGGGGTACACGCACAACACCAGGAGAACACAGGTGATGCCTCCAGCCAAACCTTAGCACTCACAGAAAAACTGTCCATGAATTTCACTGCTCAAACACCAGCTCAGAACATCTCCCTGTCCCACCACCTTCAGGTGACCCATGGAGAGCCAGGTGAGCCACTCCACCCACCCCAGGCTCTGCAGCAGCATGGAGAGAGCTGCCTGCTCCCTGCCAAGGCCGTGCCCTGGGGCAGCTCCACCTTAGGAGTCACTGCCTCAGAGGGGTGACAGTCACCAGCTGAGGCACCAAAGCCACCCAGCAGCCCTGTCCTGCAATAAAACCATCCCCTCTCACCCGTAAAGCAGAGCAGCTCCGGGTCAGTGCCCAGCTGGGCCCTCAGCACCAGGACAAAGCTGTGTTTGCTGAGGGATCCCCGCCCCGGCCCCTGAGGGCTGCTGAGGGATCCCTGCCCCGGGCCCCTGAGGGCTGCTGAGGGATCCCTGCCTGAGGGCTCTGAGGGCTGCTGAGGGATCCCTGCCTGAGGGCTCTGAGGGCTGCTGAGGGATCCCTGCCTGAGGGCTCTGAGGGATCCCTGCCCCGGGCCCCTGAGGGCTCTGAGGGCTGCTGAGGGATCCCTGCCCCGGGCCCCGAGGGCTGCTGAGGGATCCCTGCCTGAGGGCTCTGAGGGCTGCTGAGGGATCCCTGCCTGAGGGCTCTGAGGGCTGCTGAGGGATCCCCGCCCCGGGCCCCGAGGGCTGCTGAGGGATCCCTGCCTGAGGGCTCTGAGGGATCCCTGCCCTGGCCCCTGAGGGCTGCTGAGGGATCCCGGCCTTGGCACCACAACAGCAGACGCTCAGAACTCCCTCAGCTCAGTGTGACCCTGGGTGTTTCAGTACTGCTACAGGGAAAAAAACCCCCTCATTTCCCCACTGCACTGCCCAAAATAGGCACCTGATGATTTGTAACCACAGGGGCGACCCAAAAGCCTCCTCAGGACAAAGCTGAGCCAGCTCCAGCTCAAAAGGAGCCATAGGGATGCCACAGATCAGGCCAAGCACAGGCCAGCACCCTCCTGTGAGGGAGCTCTTCAATTTCTACCCCTAAAATGCTCTAAAACACCACACAGATCCAACAACAGGGAACATTCCACTTACCTCAGGTACTGGGAGAGCACAATTCCTGCAGGAAGGAGGAAAATCCCACATGGAGAAGCTCAGGAGGCAGCTCAGAAAAGAGCAGGGTTGTGGCCATCCTGCTTGTGTAGGGCTGGGGCAATTGGCAGCAGCTGTGGTGCTGTACAGCAGGACCCCATCAGCTCCTTAACCAACCCCAACCGTGCCCAGCTGCTCCTGCAAACCTGGCAGGAAATTCACTCCTCCTTCCCCATGGCAGTGCCCTCCACCCACAGCCACCACCCCAGGGCTGCTCCAGGTGACATTTCCCAGCCCCAGGTCCATCCCCACTGCGGGGAAGGCTCCAGCTGAGCTCTGAGAGTCCAGTGTGGAGCTCAACTGCTTTGAAGTCCTAAAGCTCCTGTAAAGAGTTCTAAGTTTTGATGATTATAAGGTATTAAAGGGGCAAAATGAGACAGAAAAGGATACTTGATGTCTTATTTTGTTGCCTCACCATAAAATCCTTTTTTATTCCCTTTAAAGCCCTGCTGTCAACTGAAATAAAACTCCAGATTTATTCCTGGGGAAGCGCATGAGTAATGAAAAAAAAGAGAATTAAGCACCATCAGTGGATTGCACAAGGGAAAGCCCCGAGTTAACCCTCAAATCCGTCCTTGGTGCTGTTTTGTCCAAAATTATGGATGAAGTGGGTAGAAAGTGGAAAATGGTGGCACTGCTCCACAAGGAGGAGAACAGGGAGCAAAGGTGTGAATGTGGTGTGGGAAATGCTGGGGAAAAGAAAAGGAAACAAAAAAAGCAATGTTTGCTGGTGCTCTCCAGGTAAAATGAGGACAGTATTGAGAAAAATCTTTTAAAAGCCCCCAAAACATAAAAATGGCCTCTTGATAGACTGTGTGAAAGCGATACAGCAAAGGAGGTGGGTGGTTTGGCAGGACCCACCAAACCTAAGCCAAAGGGATAAAAAAACCCCTGCAAAGCTCTTGAAAGCTGCTTTAAATGAGAGTGACATGTTTTGACACCGTTCCCTAAGAATGGCTGTAACACAAACAAAAATTAATGATGTCAAGTATTAATACTGATGCTGCAGGAATTCAACCAATGTGGTCCTAATTAAACATCAAATATGGTTATAATTTGAAAAATGACTGCGGGAATGTCATTGCAACATTCCCTGCTCAGATCTCTCCAGCATCCACCCAGGTTCCTGTGTTTCCCTGTGGGATGCAGCCCCCACCTTCCTCCATCCCTGGAAATCTCCAGGGCCAGACTGGACGGGGCTTGGAGCACCCTGGGATGGTGGAAGGTGTGCAACAAGGTGACATTTCAGGTCTCCTCCAACCCAAACCACTCCAGGATTCCACAATTCTGCGATTCCCCATCCTCACTCATGGCTGTGGCAGGAACATCAGGGCCAGGTGCCAAAATGCAGGACCCTGACATGCACCAGAAGAGCTTTTGAGTGGTAAATTCAGGCCCTATTTAACCCTTCGAGGTCTCATTGAATCTTTTTCTCTGCAAATACGAAGGTGACAAAAACATCCTCTGCAACCTTGAAAGCTTCCCAGTCACTGGGCTCCAGAGGCTGGGATTTTATGGAAATCAAAGGCACAGACTGGAATTGTAGCAGAACTCCAGGACTTGGCAGAGCTCCTCCTTGGCAATAAATAACTTCCCTGACCAAGCAAAGCCCGTGTCCAACCTGCCCCTGCCAGGCCCAGCACAAGTCAGAGCAAAGGAGCTGATTTTATCCAGGATTTCCAGGCAGAGTAAATCAGCTGAGACAGGCACATCTGACCAGGACATTTTTTTGGCTGCAGCTGCTCCTCAGAGTAAATATATTCTTCCCAAACACTCCTGGATCATTTATTGCCTGGATGACAGACTGGGAGATCTACAGGACAAAGCTGCTCATGGCTCCTCCGAGGCACTGGAGACGTTCCCAAAATCCAGGCCATGCTCCAGTGGAGGATCCATCCAACCATGAGTTGTCCAAAACCTCCATTTGTTTCTCAACCATCAAACACGTCTGGGACGTGCAGGGCTCACAGACAACCCCTGGGTAAGGCAAAAAATCCAAACTGGTACTGCTGGGCAGCTTTGTGGCCGTGCAATACTCTGCTTTTCTCCAAGACCTACTGATTAGCACTGATGAAGATTAATCTGCACAGCATGGATGTGCACCCTCATCCCCACCCTGTTCTGTGTTATCAGAGAGGTCAGACAGCCCTGGGTGAGAAGAGCTACAGATCTTCCTCTCACCTCCTCCCAGTGTTCCCTGGCACTCCAACTGGCCTCACTCACCCTCCTCTTGGAGCCAGCTGCAGCCTTCCAACTCATTTATTGCTTTTCCAGGGTCCTGGCTGAGATGGGAGACAGCAGCTGCCCTCTGGAACCCCCCTGACTGCTGCCAACTTCAGCTGGGGGGGGAAGAAAAAAGACAAATCCCCCCCCATAATGCGAATACTTTATTATCAATGAGTGACTGGTATTAGCTTTTTGTCTGGGTATTAATAATATTTCAAAAAACCATACATCAAAATTAGGGCTTTCTCCTATTTTTGCTGTATAATTTTTGTTGTTTTTTTTTCTTTTTTTTAAAAATCTGTATTGAAAGAATTATATAAGCCAAAGTGCATTTTCTGTTTTTTGTCCATATACACATTGCACCATACATAAATAATTACATTGTAAAAATGACTCCATAATTACAAGTATAATATATATTTTCATATAATATATAAAACTTTATATTAAATCTAGGTAGATGATATTTGGGATAGTCTGTGTCTTTTTTTTTTTTCTTTTTTTTTTCCTTTTTGTGTGTGTGTGTTTTGTTGCCGTTGATGTTTTCCTTTCCTCGGAGAGTTACCGGTTGTTGCTGAGTAAGATCTCCAGCCAACACGGACACGACGTGATGAACTGTCTGGAATAACACGGCCCCCAGCCCTTGGCGAAGCTGATCCGGACGCTGTTGGGGTCGTAGGGCCCGTCTGCATAATCCAGCTCGGCCGTGTGCTGCAGCAGGCAGGACTTCTCGTAGTCAAACACCTTGATGGAGTAGCCCGGCATCACCTTGCGCACGATCAGAGTCCTGCAGTTGGGGATGTCCAGTGTCGGGGAGTTGACGAAGATGGGATGCTCGCTGCGGTTGTAGGCCCACACCCCGTCCGGTTCCTTGCTCAGTAAAATCCCGTAGCCGATTTTACTTCGAGTCCTTCTCACAGTCTCGCTCCTGTTGTCCAGGTTTAGCTGTCCGAGGCAGAAGCCGTTTCCTTGAGGTAGGTCGTAGAAGATACTGACAGACTGTTCGTACACTGTGTAGAGGCGGCCCACGCGCGTCCGGTGCTCCCAGTAGGCCACGTTGCACCAATGGCTCCTCTTCACGGCATCGGGCGATGTGCTGGCGTCTGTGGGGACAGAGAGCGAGTCAGGAGTGCTGGCATCACCTGGGGAACCACAGGGATAGAGCCTGGGAAACAGCTCCTCCCACCCATCAGCTCTGCTCAGTGAGAACTTGAACTTGCGCTCAACCCAGTCCTTGCGTTCAACACAAATCACATGTTCAACCCAAAGATGGTGCTGAACCCAAAATTTGTGTTCAACACAAATTTCACACTCAACTCAAAACTTGTGTCCAAGCCAAAGCTGGAATTTAACTCAAAGTTCATGCTCAAGCTAAAACTTGTGTTCAACATAAACTCCATATTCAACCTAAACTTGTATTTAACCTGAAATTCATGCTCAGCCTAAAACTTGTGCTGAACCCAAAGCTTGTGTTCAACACAAACTTCATGTTCAACCCTGTATTTGCCTTCAACCCTAACTTGTATTTAACCCAAAATTTGCGTTCACCTCAAAAGTTCTGTTTAACCCAAAGTTTGTGCTCAACCCAAAAATGTGTGCTCAACCCAAAGTCCATGTGCAACCCAAAGTTGGTGCTCAACCCAAATCCTGTCTTCAGAGGTGTTAAATGCCACTAAGACTGGTGGTCAAGCCCAGGCTGGAGATCCCACAGGATGCCCACCATCTCCCTTGAGCTCAGCACATCTCTCTCCATTTAATGTCCAACCCTGCATCCACAGCTGGGCCCGTGTGTCCTCAGGATGTTTGCATTCCTCCCACTGGAGCTGGTATGGACACTGTGCCGGTATCCTGAGCCTGGTGGCTCCCCAGCACCCCTGTAACCCCACCTTCCAGGCCAAACTTGTGCCGAGCTGACCCCCAGATGTCCAGGATGTGCCTGGATGAGCGACCCGCCGGGTGTCTCCTCAGTGTAATATTCTCTGACAGCCACGCTGATGTTCCCATGGGGAACATGAAATCTGAGGAAGTGTTTCATGCCAAGGGGGAGTAGCTGCTAGGAACTATACATGTCCTTCTAAAAACCCACTGGAACTCTCCAGACAATGAGAGACGTCTCTTCTTTCTAGGAATTACACTCAGGGAAGACGGGAGGGACGCAGGCTGCCAGAAATCTGTTTAATCTATGATGCCTCCAGAATTTATGATGTCTCCAGAAGGAAGACAGGAAGAGAAGGAGCCCCAAAGAGGGCGAATTAACCACTTGCTGAACACCATTCCTGCTCCTGCCGCACCGGTTAAGGGAAAACCGCCGTGGAATTTCCAGTGAGGAGCTCTGCTCTGCTCTGGGCTGGCTGTGCTCCGTGGCCAGCATTAAGCTCCCTGACAATCCCTCACGTGCCCGTGGCCTGCTGACCCCGGTGCCTCTGTGCCATCATGTCCCATTAACTCGCCCGCGGGGTGATGCCATTATTTTGCTCCAGAGCCCCCATTGACACACCGGATTTCAGGCCCAGCCCTCCAGCCCCGCTTCTTTTCAGGCTCAAATTACCCCGGAGGAGAGCGGGCTCCCCTCCCCATTAACCAGCTTTGAATTAAGCGGCTTTGTTGGAGTTTAACTGGAGTTGTAACTATACAAATTTAAGGGGAGGGCCGAGGGGGAGGGGGTGACGGGGCAGGCAGGGCGGCAGCAGGATGCCCTTTGCTGTGGGCAATGCTCATCAGCCTGAAGCAGCCCCTTCACCCACCACAGGTCACATTCTGGGGACACCATCACAGTCCGTCCCTCTGTCAATCAACTGGGACAACTTCCACTGAACCAGGGTGCTAAGAGACCCATCCATCTTCCCCAGCATCCAGTTTCCACAGTCATTTTTCCCCTGGGACATCCTACAGTTCTCCCAATGCCTTCCCAAAGCTTTCCCCAAACACTGAACTTTGCTGCTGTCCCACTCAAGTGATCTGGGGGCTACAGACCAGCTCAGAGCCTTTCATGTGCCGGGGCTGGAGGCTGGTAGCAATTACTGAGCTCTGCATCTGTTTAACCTCCCAACCTCCACAAAGCCCTCCATGCCCATTAGCTATGTTGGTTTTGTTATTACATTTTTGAGAAACTACTGCTCAGCCCCTGCATTTCCCTTACAGATTAAGGATGGGACAACTTCAAACCTCCAGTGTCCCCAGCAGCTCCATTAATCAGGGGAACAGTCAGCAATAAACATTTAAATAGGAGTTTCTCATGGTTTAGTGCAAATTAATATACAAGGGGGGGAAAGTAAAGCTGGAGGAAAACAGTGCCTATCCTACAAAAATATTTTGCTGCAAGTGCCAACAGCCCTGGTGCCATCTCTGCTTTCCAGGAACTGGCAAATATCTAAGCAGAATCACCCATGAAAACATGCATTTGAAAGAGCTTTATTAAAAGCATTTCCATGCAACTTAAGGCAGGAACTTCCCCCTCCATCCATCCATGAATGCAGCCCCCCTGCCAGTGAGCTCCTCATCTCTGTCATCCCACAGCCCCTGCCTGGCAGTGCCAGCTCTGCCAGCCCACAGCACTCCTGGAGAAGTCCTGTGCTCCTTCAAGCAGGTGACAATGTGACTTTCAGGTAACTGCACCTCAAGAAAGGAGAAGTTTCCTTTCAACCCACTTCTTCTGGCCAAGGGAGAGGAAAGTCTTTAAAATCCAAAAAAGCAGCCCACAGGGAAGTGACCCCCTGGCAGGGGACAGCTCAAGGCTCATCTGAGCAGCCCCTGCCCTCAGGAAGCTCTCAGGGTCCCTCTCCCAGCGCTCCCCGTGCTGCGCTGGGTTCCTCTCCCTCCTTTTATCTCCCAGTGCACTCAACCAATTCCTGCAAAGATGAACTCATCCCACAGCCCTGACATAAAACAAGCACTTCAGCAAGCCCCCAAATCAGGGGGGCCTGTGCTGTGTCTCATCCCCTGCCAAGTATTAGTTTCGCCTCCAGCTATTAGGCACTACCACTCTGCAGAGAGCAGGGGCGGCCGGCACACCACCACCTCCTCCTCTGCCTTTTAAATAAATATTCCACTTTTCCCTCCTCTTTTTTTCCATGCTGCCCTTTATGCACAGACAAGAAAATCCACTTTTTGTTCTGTTTTTTCCCCCCCTCCCACTTCTGCTGGAACAGAGGCGGGCTTGTTAGCGTTCTTTTTGAAGAAAGGAAAATATTTGAGTCCCGCAGTGGTATTACAGGAGGGGTTTTTAACAACTATCATTGTAGGCAGCTACAACTTGTAGCAGCTCCAGAGGGGCTGGCGTCAGGGCTATCTCCTCCATCAAAGCCACCTTCATCCATCAGATGGAGGGGCTGAAACTCTGCCTCGTGTTTACTCCTTCCTCCACCACTGCTCCTCCACACAGCCATGCCTCGTAGCACATCCCAAAGTGAATTCAAACAATTAGAGATAAAGGAACAAGATAGGAGAATCCAGCCCAGAATTTAAAGGGAAAAGGCTCCTGCATGGCTCAGGCAAAAGGAATCTGGCTCTGGGAATAAATGCAGAGAGCAAACACTGTAAATCCTCCCGGCGTTAGCAGCACTGCTGCTGTCACTCCCTGCAGAGTGTGGAGGTAAAGAAAATAACTTGAGGTTTGAGACTATTTGTGATTTGACAGCATTTTATGCCAGTAAAGTTCAAAGGAGTGCTTTAAAAGAGAAAAGAAAGATGCTTTTTTCCAAAACAAAACGCTGCACAGTCCCACTGCTTGATTTTGCACTTGAAAGCAGGATGGAAAACATGGGCAGATCACGAAGCACATGAAACAAACGGCTCTGATTCACTCCTTGGCTTTTCCAAAGCCACCAAACCTCCTCCCAGCAGGTCAAATGGCCCCCTCAATACATGGCTGCAAGGAAGAGCTTCTCAAAACACACTGAAGAGGTGCCCATAGGGAAGACCATGCACATGAAAAATAAATCACTGCACTCTCCAGATGTGACGGGGACTTAATGCACATCTGGGCAACCTGGAAATGAAGCAGGATGTTCAGAAGTCCTCCCACCAGAGAGCCCACTCCCCATGGAGCTCAGGTACACCCTGCCTCAACACCTTTCCATTCACTTTTACTCCACTTTTGGACTATCAGACCCATGCTCAGTCTTTTTCCTCCCCTCTGCCACAGCACAGATCTGTATTTACACTGCCCGACACACAGGAACAGGGAAGCAGGAAGGTTACAGCCATACACAGGGCACTGTGAACATGGTCCAGATAAAAAACCCAGCACAAAGAACACACACATTTCCCCAAAATCTATTAACAGTTCACTGGGGAGCCATCACTTAAAATAATCCCCCATTAATACCCCTGGAAACAAGCGCCAGGGTAAGAAGGGGTTAAAACTTTCCACAGAGAAATGGAATTTTTATGGCCCTGCAAAGAAAAAAAAAAAAAAGAAAAAAAAAAAGAAAAAAAAGAAAAAAAAAAGAGAAATTAATTGTCAATCTGCCCCAGCAAAGCTCACAACCATTTTCTTTAAGCCAATATACTTAAAATACCTCTGCCTTACAAGTTTCAGCTGGAATGCATCACTGTGCCCCCCAGAGCCCCCCTGCCACCAGCACCAACCCCAGCACGGCCCCTTGGGCTGGGGAGAGGCTGGAGCTGTCCCCAGCATGGGGGGGCCCCTCAGGGGACACAAACCAGCCCTGCTGGCTGCCCATCCTTAGGGGGAGCTGTGAATGGCACCTTGAGGGCACCTCAAAGGGCTTGGGGACCCCACCTTGGTCCCAGCGTGGGAGCACCCCAATGCTGGGCACACTGTGTGTATTTAGGGCAACATCCTAATCCCAGCAGGGGACAGACACAGGAGGCTGGGCAGGAGCTTCTCCAGGTGAAAATCTTGCTGAGGACAGGACAGTTCAGTCCCCTTCCCTAACTCCTCCTTGGTTTCTCCAGGGAAGCTGCTCCTGAGGGGAAAAGGCAGGTGGGTATTTTTGCCCATTATCGCAGCATTTAGAGAATCCCTCTGCAAAAACCCTGAATAACTGGGTGTAAAACCAGGGTTGGATACTCTTCCAGAAATACATTCACAAAGTTCACACAAATTCCCACTTTGGGTAATTTTTGCCCATTATTGCAG